AAACACTCCTCCCCTATTTACATTATGAATTTGATCCTTTTATCAATCTGATCTATAAACTTCGGTAGTTCATCTAGTTTTTCACTTCCATGCGACCAAAATGCGAGTTAGTCATCCAGGTATTGTATGAATCCTCTTGATTGTTGCAGTGGCGTCATGAAATCCTCTTATAATTTGTTAACATTAACGTTGCCAAATAAGGTGACAATATTTCTAGAATTATTTCGAACTCCATGTCCAGTTTTGTCTCCTTGGGGAACTTGTCGGAGATAATGATGACCTCAAGAAGGATGTCTTCCAAAATGTTTGACTTTGGAAAAAAAATTTGGCCCTTTCTTCAAAATCATAGTGGTTTCAGGATCAAAAGGAATCGAGGATAAATTTGCTACTTTATCCCGATCGTGGTACGGAGATAAGCGTTATCACCTCAGAAACCTGTGATCTTAGGGGACACTACAGCTCGGACAGAATTTATGTTCTTCACCAGACCTCCGTTTAGAAGTTAAGAGAAGCTTCTGATATAGAAAGGAATACCAGTCCTTCATCACCTCGAACGAAATGTGGTGAATACATCCAATAAATTATTTAAGATTATATGATTCAAAGCTCCAGCGTGAGTTGACCAGGAACTTTCAAAAACTTCAGAATATGACCAATATGAAATCACGTGCGATTCTTGATTTAATAAAGAGGACATGACGAAAAAATTGAGTATGTATGGGATTATAATACAGTATAAGTTATAGTCTTTATAATGACTTGCTTTCTATAATTGTTCAGGCATATTTTAAGGCAAAATTAAGGTCAGCCTAGCAATGCTGTACCATGGGGCTTATTGAAGCTTACCTTTCTTCATATTTACTCAGCCTAATAGTATCTGGTGCTCGGTCAGCTTGTGAGAGAGCATTGCATAACTCGTGGCAGCAGAGATAAGATCAATCATGAGAATGAGAACCTAAGATAAGAAAAGGATTGCGTGTGGAAGAAATGTTACTACCAAAAGGTAGCACAATTAAATTAGATCATTGTAAAGATTAAAATACACCTAATTTAGAAAAAGATTATTTTTACGAATGAGAAAAATAGCTAAACTAAATATTGATGCGTGAAATAATAAGAACAAGTAAGATTAACCATTAGTTGTGTATTTAAATCAATGCTCAGGATCTACATTCATTATTTGCTTTCTTTTAAAATCTGTGCAATGGACATATGAGACAACAGTGTAGTATCGCATAGAACTGTCTCCATCCTCATTTCTTTTGCGAGCAAGTCTCACTCTGACTCGATAGGGCACATTTCGAACACCCTTTGACCATACGAACCTAATTAATCACATTAAAAAGCGAAAACTTACTTATTAAGCCTTATGTCTACTCGGACGTCCTCAGTCCCCATCATCTTTTGAGCAAATTTTTTTATTTCTTTTATAGCACGAGGGGCACGCTTTTTGAAGCCAATCCCATGAATACGCCTATGCAAATGGATCGTATACTCACGAGTGGCCACACCCTTGCGATTTACCCGGTGGGTCTTCCTAGAAGTACGAACCATGGGGGAAGGAC